CTGAGCGGGAAGCTGGTGCCGGAGGGGGGCACCGTGGGGGCTGCTGGCCAAACGGCCGGCATTTCTAACTCATCTGCCGCTGCTCCTGGGGGAAGAAGGAAGTTGGGGAAAAGGACAGTTCAGAATGCACGGGGAGCAGTTCTCCTGCCCTGGCAGGCCCGTCCCAGTTGGAGTCGATGGAAGGCGCTGGGTTTGGGGGCTGGGATCCACGTAGAGACCCTGGGGAAAGCAGTTTGGCTTACATCTGGAGGGTTCATTTGTGTGCTGGGGCCAGGCATTCTCTCAGGCCGTGGTGGCGCAGCCGTTACGTGCTGGGCTGTCATCCTCTCAAGGTCAGCAGTTTGAAACTACCAGACGCTCCTCGGGAGAGAGATGGGGGCTCCCTGCTCCGGTCAAGGGTTACAGTCTCGGAAACCCACAGGGGCATTCCGCCCTGCCCTGTAGGGTCGCTGTGAGTCAGTCAATTCGATGGCAGTGAGTTTGGTTTTGTTTCTGGTCCCTCTCCAGCTGTGTCACTCGTCGGGAATGTTAAGTGTTATCACTAGTCCAACGGCCTTTCCAGCAGCCTGCTTGAAGGAGAGCGGGGAGCTCCCCAGAAGCGTTCGTGAGGAGGCCCGCATGTAAGGTCAGGCTTTCCTTCTGCTCACCTTTGAAACTACCGGGACTGTTGGGGTGGTGGATTGGATGATGGGTCGTCGGCTAGCTGAACAGTCAGGGCTTCAAGCCCACAGCCTATTCTCAGGAGACAGCTGAGGCAGTCTGCTCCCAGAAAAACGCTGGTGCCTGGGAAACCCCGTGGGGCAGTTGTACCCTGCCCTGTAGGAGTGCTGTGATTGCAAATCCACTCTCTGGCTTGGATGCATTTTTAACATTCTTTGTACAACTATAAGAAATAAGAGACTTTACTGGTTCTGTTTGAACATTTCCCAGAGCGTCTGCTTGTTTCTAAACATCTCAATTCTGTGGCCCAAACAATGGGGAATGGAGTAGGGTTGTTGGTGGCCTATAGAATCTTTCACCCTGGTAGTAACATTTGACTGTAACGAAAAGGCTGGCGGTTTGAACCCACCAGCCGGTCCTTTGGAGAAAGATGAGGCTCCTCAGCTCCCGTAAAGGTGGACAGCCTCGGAAACTCACAGGGCCATTCTCCTTTGTCTGTGGGGACCCCTTGTAGCCGTTGGAACGGACAGCAGGGGGTGTGGTTTGCTTTTTAAAAATCATTTGAAGAGAGAGCAGTTAGGAATTGGAACCATGACTAGTTCTCAGCTAGAAATTTCAGGGATTGTCTGTATTCCCATGTGTGAAACTGGAACCCAGAGGCATAGAAATGAGCTGATTGGGACTCTGAGAATTTTCCGTCTTGCTGATAGGAACAGCCTGAACGCTTCTGACTACTAACCAAGAAAGAGGTTGACAGTTGTAGCCCCTTCTAGGGGCCTCGAAGGGAAGGCCCTTGGCCTGGGTGCTCGTGAGCTCGGCTTAGCTCTGCCCACTCGCCCGGGGTGTGGGTTCTGTGCAAAGAGCTCACCCATGTGTCCTCTCCCTGAACTCGGGACTGGGACCCACAGGAGCTGGTCTGCTGCACGCCTCCTTCCCCCGGGTCTGTAGGCAGCTCACTGGCCACCACTAGCTCCTGGCTCTCACTGCTCTTGCCCACTCCCTTCGCGAACCCAGGCTTTTGAAAAGTGCCCTTCTTTCTCTTTTTAAACTTTGGCTGCAGTTCGAGTAAGAGTTTTCAGAGCTAATTGGTTTCCCACTCAACCACCGCCATCCTCCCCCTGGGCTTCCCCTTTCCCTCCGGCCCCTGGCCTGCCCGAGTGTCCCCTGAGCACCTCCCTGGGCCAGCACAGCCCTTCAGTTGGCTGTTCTTTGGAGTGGGAGCTCCCAGCGCCTGCCTGTTGCCTGGTGGGAAGTGGGGGCTGCCTGAAGGGGGGCAGGGGGCAGAGTGAAAAGCCCCTAACTCCTCACCTTCCCGTCTCCCAGCGCCTCAGTGCTGACTGTAGGGCCCTCCTGTTGCTCAGAGCACGAGCTGGCTGTGAGGAAGGGGCAGGTGAGGTGCTGCGTGGGCCTCCAGGGCCCGAGTCTAGAGCAATCTGGGCACAGACAGTGGGCAGAGGGTGCCAGCTCTCCTCTTGAGGAGGAATATCAGTTCCAGTTCATGCACACACACGCGTGTGTTCCAAACCAGACGCCTCTCAGGACCCTGTGCCCTCAGGACCAGTGAGGGCTGCGGGCGCCATGGCTCAGGGCTTCTCTCTTCGAGTGGGCCACCGGGGACAGTGGCTTCCCAGGGGATCTGCCCTTCCACCGACTCACAGTGGCTCTGCCGGACAGGGTAGAACTGCCCCAGGGGATTCTGAGACGGGAACTTCTTACAGGAACAGGAAGTCCCTGTTTCCCCCTCAGAGCGGCTGGTGGTTTCCAACTGCTGACCTTGCAGTGAGCGGCCCCATGTCACCCCCACACCACCAGGGCCCCTGGGGGTCTACTGGGCCTGCAAGTGAAGGCAGGGAGGTCGGCTCGGAGGGTGCCTTAGCTGCATCTCGGAATTCCGGGGTCGCCTCCACAGCATTCCTCAGGGGCCACTGGGCGGTCTTGGGGGTGGGGGCTTGTCGTGACGGCATTTTCTGAAAATGGGAAAGGGCTCAGGTGAGAAAAAGGCCTGGAAAGTTGAACCATGAAGAGGGGCCGCATGCTCTCTCTCCCAGGGCAGCAGGGACTGTCCCACCAGGTTCTGTTGCGACACCTCCCCCCACCCCCCACCCCCGCCCTCCAGTCCTGCTCTTGCTCCTTTGGCCTTCTGGTTCCCCAAATGCAGCCTTTTAGGGGGGCCCGATTTGCGTCCCTCGATGTGGTGTAGATCATGCCACACGTGACCCCTCGGAAGTGTGCAGACCCTGAGGGAGGCCGTGGGTCAGACGACGGCTGTCTGCTGTGCGTCTGCTTGGAAAGGTTGCTGTGGCCCAGCGTGTTTCCGGACTCACCTGGTGCCCGGCTTCCTTGATCTTGGGCGGCGGTAAAGTGACAGCTGACATGTGCACGAGTTGACAAGCAGGGCCCACTTGAGGATTTTACAATGTGGCATGAACATACTCTGCCTCACCGACAAGAATGCCATGCTCTGACGCAGTGCACACCGCGGTGTGTCTACCTTGCTTGCCGCGCTGGACGGCCAGTGTGTGCGCGCACGCGCATGCATGTGCAGGCTCCTCAGCTCTGCGTCCACATGATGCTGCCCTGGAGGCTCTTGTCCAGCCCTGGACAGTTTCATCAGGGTCTCAGATCTGTGTGATCACTTGTCCTGAGGAAGGCTGCATCTGTTACATCCTGATAGAACGGTTCAGGCACTTAGGATCGGTTTTTTTAAATTAATGTGTTGTTTGGTTTTCAAAAAGGGGCCCTGGTGGCACGGTGGTTAAGGGTTGGGTTGGCAGTTCAAACCGCCCTCCCCCCCCCCAAAGATGAGGCTGTCTGCCCTGGAACTAAGGGAGCAGCTCTGCTCTGTCCCGGGGTTGCAGTGGGGACCTGAAGGTGCACACTGTGAAGTGAGGGTCTGCCTCTCTTTATGTGGAGGCCCGGCCGGCAGGACAGGTGGTTAGCGCATGGTCACTCAGTCCGAGAGCAGCTTGGCCCTCCGATGGCTGCTCCAGTAAATCCCCTTCTCTATACTTTCTGGGCTTCCTGCGGTGTGCTCTTGCGTGGGAAAGAACCCGGGGCTGGTGCTGCCGTGTGGCCTCCAGGCACTGTGGTGTGTAATTTAGTCCTCCGACCCCCTTCATAAAGGCTGCTCCGCGAAGTCTCTCTGACGCCGGTGCTCATGGTTGAATAGGCGTCAGTCACCGTTGAGCCTGCAGTTTGCCCTTTCACTGCGACAGCTCACATTTACCCGACTTCATCATTTGTGGGCGTCAGGGCCCTCGTCTCCTTCCAGCCCTGTCAGTGCCCTTGTAGTCACTGCCTTTCACCCCCACCCCCCACCCCCATCGGTCAGTGCCGGCTCACAGCCACCCTGTGTAAGCCTCCCAGGACTGTTGGTCTCCATGGGAGCAGGCCGCCTCCCTCCCCCGCAGAGGACACCAACAACCTTGCTGTTAGCAGCCTGATGCCTACCCGGCAGTCTCAGCAGGGCTCCCACCAATGATGAAAACATCAACTCACTCTCAAGTCATTTGAAGTAGTAATGTGTTTCAGATCAAAGGGCAATAAAAGATACCCGCTGGGGGCAGAGGGAGACACTGAAGGGGGAAATGGTGGCCATCACTGAGGGTACCCGGGGTGACTGCTGGCAGAGGGGCCGGAGACCACTCTGGTGTTGCCAGGAAGGGTGTTGGTGGCCCATGGAGACAGGACAAGGCAGTGGCTTCAGAGACTGCATGGTCATCCCCAGCTCAGGGTGTGCCCTGGTCCTTGATGTGACTTGGCGAGGGCTAAAGTCCCCAGTTTTCCTGCATGGAGGCCGGGGAGCCTGCAACTCTGAACCCTCAGATCAGACACCACCCTGATCGTGGGTGTTGGCACCTTCCTCCTGACCTCTGCTCCCAGGTGAAATGCCGTCTTGGACGCCAGGAGCAGAGCATCATGCCTTTAGCAGCGGATGCTTGTGCTCATGGCCGGTTCACCCATGCCATCGTCTTGGGAGAGAGGTCTGAGCTGCTGGTCCTCGGATCTTCCTAGAAGGGAGCGCCATCCAGTCGGTTCTGACCCGCACAACAGAAGGAAACACCATCAGCCCTGGGTTCACACCCACCAGCTGCTCCAGGGAGAGGCGTTCAAGGTTGACAGCCTCAGACACCCAGGGGGCTGTCACTCCGTCCTGCACAGTCACTGTGAGCCGGGACCGACTTCACGGCTGTAGGTCTGGGTTTGGTTTGGGGCACAGGGTTAGGATTTACAAGAGCAGAAAGCCTCATCTTCTCCCACGGAGCGGCTAGTGGGCTAGAACTGCCAGCCATGCCATTTTCCCGATCACCTTCTCAACAGAATGCCATTTCTTTGCACAGGTTTGCTTGTAAATGCCTCACGAGAAGACGGCCCAGAATGAAGAAAGCGGGCAGGAGTGTCGGCTCAGCGCCTAAAGTGACCGGGGCCAGTCGAGCGCCAGCCGCAGAGAGAACCAAGCCCGAGGGCAGCAGCTCGGCGTCTGCCGGCGGCCGCGTCGTCAAACCCAACACCACGGCGTCCCTGTCGAAGGTACTGCGCCGTGGCCCTGGGCCTGCAGGAGGGCCAGGTGCCGGCGAGGCCCCGTGAAAGGAGTGCCCGCCCTCCTGTACATCACGTGCCTTTGGGTCACTTCCGCCCCGTGGTCCGCAGCCGAGGAACTAAGCTGGCCCCGCACCAGCCTCACGGTGGCGGTTAGTTAGGTCTGAGCCCCTGCTGCAGCTGCTGCCCGTCCATTGTATCGAGGGTCTTTCTCCTTTGTGCCGCCCCTCTGTTCCACCAGGCACGATGTCCTTCGCCAGGGACCGGTCTCTTCCGACAACACATCCGAAGTGCGTGAGACAGAGTCTCGCCATCCTTCGCCTCGGGAGCACTGTCGCTGTGCTTCGTCCAAGACAGAAGGGCTTGTCCTCTGGCAGCCCCTGGTTCTCTGTGTCAGCAGTCTTCTTCCCCCGTCCTTCACGTGCTGTTCCGGTCTTCCTTAGTCACGGTCCACCCTGAGAGGCCACACCTTTGTTCTCACAGTGCCCTTTTGCCCTCGAGCACTGCAGACTTGAGTGCGCCAATGCGGCAGGTATAGCCAACACTGCAGCACCCTTAATCCCTACTGTGCCCTCCCACACCGTACACTGCTTTTCCCCGCACGGCTGATCCAGGCCCTATCCTGAGTGATGCAAACAGTTAAGCACCTGACGACCAACTGAGGAGTCAGGGTTTGAACCCCCCCACGACTCCGGAAAGACAGGCCTAGGGATGGGCTTCTTTCAGAAGCCGTGTGCCCCCGGGAGTTAGCACCAACTTGATGGCAACCCACAGCACCACGATTGATCGGGGGACCCTGACGCCCTACCACCAGGGCAGCACGATACCAAGGCTATCCACAGCCCTGGTCTGTGGTCAGAGGGGGTTCCCTGGAGGCTTAATGTCATGCCTTCACTTTTCTGAGCAATGAAGCAACTTTAAAGTGGGTCTAAAGGGAGATCAGGTGATGGGATACTACATTTTGACCTGAGGACATCTGTCGTACTAGACTCTACTGTGCTCCCTGTCTGGTAGCAAGTCTGTTCACATCCCTCGACTGGGGTCAGAGGGGCTCACCTGAGGCCTAATCCCTGTAAACCCTGCAAGCGGATTTTGGGTTTCCACTGCCATCTACAGCCTTCTGCAAGCCGGGTGTTTGCAATGTGAGCTTTAATACTGTTCCCTCCTTCAGATGTGGATTTTATTTTTACAGTCGTTGGATCACACAGGCTGGTGTGCTGCTTCCACGTGGACTTAGTTGATGCCTCACTTAGATGACTGCTTGTTTGAAGACAAGCCTTTAAGACCCCAGACGAGAGTCTTTTTGAAGCTGGGCACCGTCAGCTGTCTTCATTGGGTGTTGGTTGATTCAGTCAGAGCATAATCAGCTGTCATCACCTCCTTCAGCTTAGTTCCTGGGGGCGAAGGACAGCCACTGAATTAGACCATGGGTTTGGCGGGTAGGATGAAATGAAATCTGCTGGAGAGCCATTTGTGTTAGGTCTGCACAGAGTAAATGCTTGGTAAGTGACAGGGTTCTGATGAAACAGTGGCGTTTTGTTGGGTTAGCTCTACAAACATCTCACTAGGAGAAAATGGGATGCGCACGGAAACCCTCAGTCTAAAAGGACCAGTGGTCCCCGTGTGACTCAGCCTCCGCGGCCCAGAGACCGTGGCCAGGCTTCTGCTGCTGACTACTGTAGGCAGAGTCGCAATAGGAGGCCCCGGATCGAACTCAAGACGCGCACTGCTGTCCACCAAGTCAGCGCTGCCTCGCAGAGACCCTGCAGGACACAACAGAACTGCCCCTGGGGGTGTCTGAGATCCCCCTTCTCTCCAGGGAGTGACTGGTGGGTTCAAACCACTGACCTTGTGGGTAGCAGCTCAGCGTGTAGCTGTCTACGCCACGAGGAAGTGCAGACAGGGTACTCCTGAGAGGCAGGGTGGCGAGACTTGGTACCGTGCGCTTTGGATGTGTTGTCTAGAGACCCGTTCCTCGGGAAGGACATCATGTTCGGTACAGCAGAGATGGCCCTAGACGAGGTGCACTGACACCGGAGCTGCAGCCGTGGGCTCGCTCAGGAACCCCGGTGAGGATGCTGCAGGACCGGGCGGTGTTTCCTTCTGTCGTGCATCAGGTCACTGTGGCTCGAAGCTACACAGCGCCTACAGCAAACTAACAAAGCTACCAGGGCCCCTCCGTTCCTGGATGGAGAAGGAAAAACCCAACAACTGTAAATCAAAGCTCAAAACCATAGAGAAGAGCAGGCTTACTGGGCAGGCAGAGCCCGGTGGATCCCCGAGACCATGGCCCACGGTCACCCTTCAGGCCTGGAATTGGGCTCACTGCCCAGGCTTCGCTTTCCCCAAACAATAGTCCCGCAGGGTGCACTCACACACGGGGTGCCCTTTCCTTGGGCCAGCCCTCCCTGTGGGGTGGAAAGGGTTAAAGGTGAGAGGGCAGGGAGGGAAGAAAAGAGGATAAGTGGGGGAGAAGTGGGTCACACACCGTTGGGTTGAGGGGCAAACTGTGTGGGGTTGTTGAACGCCAAGCTGGCTTGTTCTCTAAACCCTCGCCCAAGTGACCGTAAAAAAAGGCGCAGGATCTAAGCCCTGGACGGAGCCTGGAAGCAGTCGTGATCTCCCAGGAGGCTACTCCCGTGGCTCTCTGAGAGACAGGATGGCCCTGGGCGAGCTGCCTTTGCCAGAGCTCCCCGCCGAGGCTCCTGGGGCTGCTCCTTCCTGGCTCGCTGCTGGCTGCAGGGGCCCTGTGCTCTGGTGGCCCCGACCCTTCCTGAAGCTTCACTGTTCAGCGGACCTGCTCTGAGGGGTTCAGCAGGAAATGCTGGTTTCTCTGCCCAACTGGAACTCCCGTAGACCCACTGAGAGGCCTCGGGGAGCTGTGGGGGCGTCGCCTGGCCTACCTAGCACCCTCAGGGTGAAACGCATGGTGGGTGGGGACTCTCGGAAGGCTGCCCATGTGCCCTGGTCTGACTGCACATTCAGTCACCGGGCTGCCCCTGGGTCCCATGGTGGCTGGTGACCTGCCCTTCGCAGGACTGGAAGAGCAGGTTGAGGCGCTGTGCTGGCAGACTCCCGTGGTACTTTGCTGCCAGCGGGCCCCATCTGCAACCCCCCTGTCCGTGTCCTGTCTCGCGGCCTTGCCTAGGACTTGTAAATACAGTGCTGCAGTGAATCCAGGAGGCGGATTGACACAGCGGCTGCAGCCATGGGCTCAGGCACCGGAACAGTCGTGAGGCTGGGGCAGACCGGGCAGTGTCTGGCTCTGTTGTGCCCTGGGTCTCTATGTGTCGAAACCGACCTGATGGCACCTAACAGCAGCAGCGGGGTGGTGAGAGGGGCACACTGTGGCTCTGAGTGTCCCTGCACTGGGCGTGGGGTTGGTGGTGGGCCTCCCCACCTGCCCTGCGTCCAGGGAGGACTCTCCCTTCTTGGCCACCCTTCTTCAGGGTTATCCCCACTCGGCCTTGACTGTATCCATGGGGAGGGGCGAGCGGTACTTTTCCTTTGTCCTGTTGATGTGGCAGAGGAGTGCTTGTTACTGCAGAGGAATTTTATACACAGGTGTCCTGCCCCCGCCAAGAGCGACAGTCTCAGGAACCCCAGAGGCAGTTCTTTACTGCCCTGCAGGCTATCTCTGAGTTGGCATGGAACCAGTGGTGGTGAATTTTGTTTAGTGTCTGCACGGTCTTGACGCTCGTTTACTTGTGTAAAGCACCTGCAGCTCCCTCAACCACCCTACACGATGGTGAGACGTCCAAGGAACTCCCTCCAGCCCCACAGTGTCCAGCTGTCTTGGTGGGTGCCCCACCCCGGCCTAGAACCCGGTCTCCGGGGTGGCACTCTGGCTGCTGACTGAAATGTGGAGTTTCAGGCCTGCTCACTGGTCCCTCGGGACAGAGGCCTGGCGATTGATTGATTGACTTCTGGTAACGCTGCCCTTCTGAACCCCGTGGCGCCCAGGCCCGTGAATTGGCGGGCGGTGGTCAGTGGGTGCTGACGGTGGGAGTGAGAGAGAGATGGGATGAGCAGGTTTCCCATCACCTTCCTAGGTTGTCGACCCTCTCCCCGCATTGCTGCAGCGCAGGGATGAGGCCATCTGCCTGGCGGTGACCTTGAAATAGGGACGTGACCACCCTCTTCCGAGTGGCCTGGGTGTCACCTGGAGGACCCAGCTCAGGGTCCGGATCCCCAGGTCCCCGCGCTACATCGGGCTCTGCTATCTTCAGAAGTGGGTGTTGTGGTGTGTGCTGCTTCTGGTGTGTGCCCTCTGTGGAGCCCTGGACCTCGGGGGAGGGATGGGACGGGGCCACGAGCCGTCGACTGGGACACCCGGGACACTGGCTGCCTGTGGTCACTCAGTCTGTCCGTTCTGTTGCTTTCAGACCAAGAGCAGTGATGACCTCCTAGCTGGGATGGCCGGAGGGGCCACCGCAACGAATGGTGTGAAAGGGAAGAAGACCGCCTGCCCGCCGGCCGCCGTACCTGTGTCCGCCTCCACCATGAGCACCGAGAGCAGAGCCAAGCTCGCCACAGGTACAGGTACGGCCTTGGTGGGGCGCCACGCTCCCCTCGCCGGCGGTGCCCGCGCCTCTCCACTCCTAGCTGGGCAGCCCCTGGCCCCTGGCTCCCCTCTGCTTGTCCTGGAGCAGATTCCAGACGCCAGAGTTTCAGCCGTAAGGGTTTCCTTATCTTCTGGGCCAGAAGGCTGCTGTTTTCCACCTTGCCAGCACAACGTAATCGGGAGAGGCAGAGGCCAGTCCCCGGAGAAGGACTGGTGTGTGGTAGCGGGGGCTGAAAAGAGGAAGACCCACCCTCAGTGGATTAAATGGACCCAGTGGTGACGGCAGGACCGGGCAGCGTTTCCTTCTGTTGCCCAGGGCTCGGGCCGGGCTTCATGGCACCTGACCCCATGTCCCATCCAGTATCTGATAGCCACTGTCCATCGGTGTGACTGTCGGTGTGACTTGGGACTGTCCTCTTGGAACCTGGGGGCTCGACTCCTCCTGGTTGACCTTGTGGTTTTGTCTTTGATGAAACGGGGTCTCTGGCTGGGTGCCTCCAGGGCCCTCGATGGCCATGCCCTGTGCATCCTCTGTGCTCTAACGGACTCGGGCTCTGGTCCTCTCCCTCTTCCAGCCCCTGCACGAGACTCCTTCACGGGCGCTGGAGAGCCACCTGCAGCAGGCACTTTGATTCCGGCTCTCGCTCTCACTGCCCTCAGCAGCTGTCAGTGCCAGCTGCCGGCCTTCCGAGCCCTCCGTTTGTCTGTTCCCAGCCGGCAGCTCTTTAGTCTGTGGATTTGGTGGCGCCGATGTACTTTGTATTCAGCTCTCACACGTCTAGGAAAAGCTTGAGCCGCCAAACCTACCACCGTGGAGTGGACGCCGACTCGGTGATGCCGTGTAGGGCTGCCGAGGCTGCCGGTCTCTGTGGGAGCGTCCAGCCTCCTCTCTTCCCGAGGAGTGCCGTGGGCATGGGCCTTGGAGTCAGCAGCCCAGCGACGATCTCACAGCTCCGCCACTCTGACTCCTGGTTCTGCTGCTGCTGCTCTGCCGCCAAAGGACGGCAGTGTGCAGTGATCTCAGGGTCCAAAGGACCCGCTCCACTCCTGGCTCTTCTCTCTTGCTAGGAGTGGGATCCACCCGCTTCCCACTTCTCAGATGGCTGATGTTCTACCCAGCAGGACGGCAGCCAACAGCGAACCCCGCTTCTAGTCTCGGGGTCATATAGCCCTTCCAGTGTCTTCCCCACCGTACCCAGAGCCATCAGGAAACAAAGGTGGTTTGGCGGGAGTCCCAAAGGCTACTGCGCTGCAGCCTGTTAGAGCCACGTGCATGTGGAATGCTTTCACCAGGGTTAGCGTCTGGCAGTGACGTGATAGTCTGCCTTTTGCAGCTTCCGTTTGAGTCTGCAGCCTTGTCACTCAGCACGGTGCAGCTGGCTGCAGACCTGGCCCGAGTCTCGCCTCACCTGTGGAACCTCGGCCACCGGTTTCACATCTCCATGTCTCCGGGTGGTTTTTCACATGGCGGCTCACTGTGTTTTGGGTTCAGGTTTCCACAGCAGTGGAGGCTCCCATGCAACAGTGTTTGCACCAGCTCTTCCGCCACACTGTGCACCCTCTCACACGGCGTGAACAACCCCATGGCTGCCCTTCTGCTTCTTCGGGCCCCCCAGTCTGAGTCCCCTGCCTGCTTACTGTCCCCTCGGTGATTGGTCACACTTGCTGACTGACCACTTGGCCTCCGCAGATGGACCGTTCAAGGAGCCCAGTGCTCATGAGTGATCTTCTGGATTGTCAGCCAGCCCGTCACTGCGCCACGGGTGACCTCGGGGAGGGTGCTAGTCTCAACCAGGCCAGTAGGTCTGGTTTCCTTTCCTTTTTAACATTTTTATTGTTTTTCAACCATTTTATTGGAAGCTCTGACTAGTATCGTAACATTCCACAGTTCAGTCACATCAGGCGATATTGTACAGTTGCTACCACATTCAGACTCAAAGCATTTTCTTTCTTCTTGGACTCCTTGGTATCAGCTCCGCTTTGTCCCCTCCTTCCCCCGTGGTTTCCTAACTGTAAACAATGTGGGGTTCTGTTTGTCCATATTGTGTCTGTGGTCGCCCTGGCTAGAGCAGGCGGTGGGGTTCGCCAGGCACGGTCTGCTGCTCCTGGTCTCAGGGGAGACGAGGCTGTTCATGTAGGCCGTTTGCCCTCTTGTAGCCCTGCTTTCTTCTCTGGCTCTTTGCTCTCTTTTGCTTGGAAAAGAGGGTAGAGAGAGGCCAATGGCTGTACCTTATTCAGCCACTTGCAGGCCTTTTAAGACCTCACCAAAGTAGGATCTAGAAGGTAACTTATGTGAGCTACATTGTGCCCATGCTCTGAGATCCCGTGAGACTCTGGTCCTAATTTTCTTGCACTCAGAAATCCGATCCCTCAAGGTGTTTGATTGTGTCTGCAAAGTATCCGTGACTGTGCCCCTGTGTGCATCTCACTTCCTCCCTGGGAGGAGACTGGGTTTTTAAAGGAGCCGGAGGCTAGAGCAGAGTGAATGTCCGGCTAACCCGGCCCCCTGCCCTCCCCTCGCTAGACCCGGGCTCTGTACCGTAGATGCCTGCTGTCCCCTTGCTGACCTGAAGCTCTGCTTTAAACATGCAGGGTCTTCGGCGAAGCGGAGCGCCTCCACGGGCAACAAGGAATCCAGCTCCAGCAGAGAAAGGTTTCGGGAGCGCACTCGGCTCAGCCAGAACAAGAAACTCCCCTCCGTGGGCCAGGGCGCACACGACGCAGCCGTGGCCAAGCGCCCGCGCAGCCGCACTGCTGCCGAGGGCGACGTTCGCATGAGCAAGTCCAAGTCGGACAACCAGATCAGCGACAAAGCCGCCCTGGAGGCCAAAGTGAAGGACCTCCTGACGCTGGCCAAGACCAAAGACGTGGAGATCCTGCACCTGCGGAAGGAGCTGCGAGTCATGCGTGCTCAGCTGGGCCTCGGCGAGGAGCCGCCCGAGGGCGAGGAGCCGCCCCAGGAGAAGGAGGCGGCCCCTGCCCATCAGCCGACGGACGTGGAGACCACGCTGCTGCAGCTGCAGGAACAGAACTCCGCCATCCGGGACGAGCTCAGCCAGCTGAAGAGCGAGAACCGGATGTTGAAGGACAGGCTCAACGCCCTGGGCTTCTCCCTGGAGCAGCGGCTGGACCCTGCCGAGAAGCTGTTCGGCTATCAGTCCCTGAGCCCTGAGACGGCCCCCGGCCACCACAGCGACGGGGCCGGCACCCTGACGTCCTCCGTGGAGGGCTCCGTCCCGGGCTCCGTGGAGGACCTGCTGAGCCAGGACGAGAACACGCTCATGGACCACCAGCACAGCAACTCCATGGACAACCTGGACAGCGAGTGCAGCGAGGTCTACCAGCCGCTCACGTCCAGCGACGACGCCCTGGACGCGCCCTCCTCCTCTGAGTCGGAGGGCGTGCCGAGCACGGAGCGCTCGCGCCAGGGGAGCAGCGGGAACGCCAGCGAGGTGTCGGTGGCCTGCCTGACGGAGCGCATCCACCAGATGGAGGAGAACCAGCACAGCACGAGCGAGGAGCTGCAGGCCACGCTGCAGGAGCTGGCCGACCTGCAGCAGGTCACGCAGGAGCTCAACAGCGAGAACGAGCGGCTGGGCGAGGAGAAGCTCATCCTGGTGGAGTCGCTGTGCCAGCAGAGCGACAAGCTGGAGCACTTCAGCCGGCAGGTCGAGTACCTGCGCTCCCTGCTCGACGAGCACCACATCGCCTGCGTGCTGGACGACGACGTCAAGAGTGGCCGCTACCTGGAGCTGGAGCAGCGCTACGTGGACCTGGCCGAGAACGCCCGCTTCGAGCGCGAGCAGCTGCTGGGCGTGCAGCAGCACCTGAGCAACACCCTGAAGATGGCGGAGCAGGACAACAAGGAGGCGCAGGAGATGATCGGGGCACTCAAGGAGCGCAGCCACCACCTGGAGCGGCTGGTGGAGTCGGAGCAGAAGGGCCGCGCCGCCCTGGCCGCCGCGCTGGAGGAGCACAAGAGCGCGGTGGCCAGCGACCAGATCGAGATGAACCGCCTCAAGGCCCAGCTGGAGAACGAGAAGCAGCGCGTGGCCGAGCTCTACTCCATCCACCACGCCGGGGACAAATCCGACATCCAGGACCTGCTGGAGAGTGTCCGGCTGGACAAGGAGAAGGCCGAGGCCCTGGCTGGCAGCCTGCAGGAAGAGCTGGCGCACACGCGCAACGAGGCCAATCGGCTGCAGGACACCGTCGCCAAGGTAGGGTGCCCGCCTCCCGGGGACAGTGTCTTCCCCCCGGCTCCTCCTTCCCGAGAGCCGGGCCTGCTACGTGGCCAGGATGCCCACCCGGGGGTGGGTGTCTTGTTGGTGGAGTCAGCCCGGCCCTGTGCTGTGGACCATGCGCCTCTCTCCTTCACCGGCGACGGCTGCCAGCACTGCCCTGTCTTAGGTGGCCTCCTGCCAGCTTGGCTGCCCCTAAACCCCAAAGGCCGAGGTCAGCGTTCCCACCTGCCCCAGAAGCTGCCCCGGGTTCTGAGTAGTCGCCCGCCCTCATCAGCACTGCATTGTGGCTCACAGCCGAAGCCAGCCGAGGAGGGAGGTTTTCCAGCCCAGTCCTGTCGTTAAGTTTAGAAAAGCCAGCATCCTGCTTGGGAGAGCCATGGCCCAGGGCACTGGGTGTGTGGGAAGAGGGGCAGGCTGCCAGGCACTGCTCCACATGCCCCTGGGCCCGGGCACATCGGGATGTGGCCCACCCCTGGCCTCCCCCTTTTATTTTCTGTTACTCCGGGGTGGCGGTTTTTAAAGTTAGGCATATTTGGCCAGCTTTGACTCTAATCGGAATGAATTAGACCTTACATTTCTTTGTGGCGGTAGCTTTTCGAGGTGCAGCGTAGGAGATCTGCTGTGTCTGTGAGGGGCGTCTGCGTATGGGAGCCCCGCTGGCTGGCTGGGCTACGTGTTGGGCTGTCCCCTCCAGTCTGTTGTTCAGGCCCACCCCCCTGCTCGGGAGAGAGATGAGGCTGTCTGCTTCTGTGAAGATGACCAAACCACACTCACCGCCACTGAGTCAACCCCGACTCTCAGTGACCCTGCAGGACAGAGGGGAACTGCCCCTGTGGGTTTCCCAGACTGTGGCTTTTACAGGCGTGGAAAGCCTTGTCTTTCTCCTTGGGGTGAAAACTCCCACACCAAACTCCACTCCCTCAGGTTGATCCCTGCCCACGGCGACCCAGTCGGACGGGATAGGGAGGTAGAGCTGCCCTTGAGGGTTTCTGAGACTACTGTACCTCTCTCTTGGTGGGAGTAGAGAGTCCTGTCTTTGTGCTCGTGGTGGTTTTGAACTGCTGACCTTGAAGTTAGCAGCCCAGTATGTGACCACTATACCCCAGGGCTCTGGCTATAAAGACCGAGTGGTTCTGTCCTGTCCTATGTGGTCGGTTTGAGGTGGAATCAGCTTGAAGGCAGTGGGCAGACGGTGCCTCGGGTTAAGCACCGGGCTGCTGACCAAAAGGTCAGTGCCTTAAACCCACCAGCCGCTCTAAGAGAGACGCATGAGGCCGTCGGCACCCTTAGAGATCTCCAGCCTCGGAAACTCTGCCCTACAGGGTCGCTGTGAGCTGGAGTGGGGGTGGGGAGCTCCCCGGGGACACCTGGAAGTCACGCTTTCACAAAGGCGGTGTTGGAGAATTGTTTTGGTGTTCAGCCCCAATCATGTGTTGAGACTGTCAAAACTCAGACCTGGTGTTTATAGGACAGCGTGTTAACTGTTAACCAAGAGCGTGCTTTTAGTCCAAACCCAGGAGCAGGGGAAGCTTGCCCAGGGCCTCAGGAAGTCCCGGGTCCAGCCCCCGTCGGTCGGGGCTTTCAGACAGCGAGGAGGGGCAGGAGGGAGCGCAGTGGTGGCGGCAGCAGGTGATGCGTAAGCATACGAGGCCATCAGAGAGCCTGTGGGAAATCGCGGTCACTGTCTCGTTCCATTTTCCCCGGACTGTGGTCTCGTGCCCCGTGGAGCCTGGTGGGACTGGAGAGCGGTCTCGGATTTTCGGACTGGCATCCTCGGGTGGTTGTTAGCCCGTCTTAAGGCCTTCCTAAACCCGCATTCCCCGTGCAGGTGGAGGACGAGTTCCGGGCCTTCCAGGGGGAGGCCAAGAAGCAGATGGAGGATCTGAACGTCACGCTGGAGAAGCTGCGGTCCGAGCTGGACGAGAAGGAGACCGAGCGCAGCGACATGAAGGAGACCATCTTCGAGCTGGAGGACGAGGTGGAGCAGCACCGGGCCGTGAAGCTCCATGACAACCTGGCCATCTCTGACCTGGAGAGTGAGTGAGGCTCCCTCGCACACCCCGTCCTGCCTGAGCCCCGGTCGGGCCAGGCCAAGAGCCAGGCCTGCCTTCGCAACAGCCTAGAAATGATCCGAGCGCCAGAGATGTACTTTTGTCAATGAGGAAAATGTAAAAAGCATTACAGGTGGAGCGATGGTAGTCTGGTTTTCAGTTCTAGGTCAGAGCCACGTGTGTGCTGAAGAGCCGCATATGGCTCCCGAGGTGCAGCGTGCCGGCGCCTGGCCCTGGTGGACCAACCCCAAACCCACTGTCGCTGACTTGGTTCTGATCGCAGCCACCCTGTGGGACGGAGTAGAACTGCCCCGGCTCTCCCAGTCTGCTGGTCTCTGGGGAGCCGACACACTCCTCTTGAAGGTTGCCGGCCTGGTGGTGAGCAGTTCAGCCCTTAACCCATAGCAGCACCTGAGCTTTTACCTGAGGGTGTTGGGGGAAAGGTGAAGTAAAGCGATGATGGGGGTCTTCCACAAACTCTCGGAAGCTCCCTGGGGTGTAGGCTCACTGGCCCCATGTGAAACACCTTGCTCAGGCAGGTGGGAGTGCAGCTGTCTGGTCACACGGGCTGTGTGTGCTGTGCCTCATGAGCAGGTCCCTTTGCTGGGAGGGCCCCTGGTTCCAGCTCCTGGTGGCTGCCTTGGGAGGTTTGGTTGTTTTTACTCCAACAAAGGCACTTGCTCTTTTTCCCTTTTTACCACTGTTGTTTTTGAGCAAAGTATGCATGGCCCATTTTCCTTTTCTGCACGTACAAGCAGGCTCCCACAAGTTGGCGGAGAAGCTCCGTGTCCGCCCCCTCCTAATCGCGACGGGCTTCTGGACACTCCCTCATGCCATGCTCGGGGTCACGGCCTTCCCGTTGTGCCATTGGCAGCAAGTTTCTGCCCTGGGGTGGGGGCATCTCTGTCATAACGGCCCTCCCTCTGCTTCTCATCCAGGCTCGAGAGCAGTTGCTGTCTCTGGTCTTAAAGTGCTTTAAAGACGGTGCATGACTCACGGGTGTGTGTGTCCCCTCCCCCCCCCTCGGCTTTATAGGCTAAACTATTTTACTTAGAGGTGACTTCAGGGGATCGTTTGGTCCAGAGCTTGAAGCGTCTCTCTGGGCAGCAGTCCCAGGAATTCCTCCGGCTTCAATGGGCCCAGTGTGTCTGGACGAGCCTTTCAGAATTTGAAGTTCCATTCCGCATTATTTATTTTAAAAAAGAAGGAAAAGAACAGCCCACTTTTAAGAGAATTTCCTGTTTTGTAACCGCCTGTGACCGGCCACATGCGTCTCAGAAGGGCCCAGAGAGCGGAGAGCAGAGCCTCACCTGCTGGCCTGTCCACACAGAAGGCACCCAGGGAAGTCTCGAGGGGTCTGCTCCAGCAGCTGGGGGCAGGCAGGCTTTCACGGCCCCTGCGGAATGTCATTGTGTTCTGTTTCCCCACCATCGCCCCCACCCCTTAACCCCTTTAAAACGATGACGGCCTCCGTGGCTAAAGGGGCGAAGATGTGCCAGCTCTGGCTGGAGAGGCCGGCCCTGCAGGGGAAGCCGCCTCACTGGCTGGTCTGCTCTGAAGCAGGGTGATGCCAGGCACGCCGGCCCAGTGCCATCCTCACCGTGGTTGTGGTGGAGGCACTTGTTGGCTGTCGAGGGCCGCGTCCCACCTTTGAGCACCGATCCCTCGCTGGTTCTTGATGGGGCGTGACCCCTGGTGCTGTGGGAACAGAGGTGGGAGTTGAACTGTTTCCGTCTGTGTAGAGGACCCCGTCCACCCACACGTCATGTGGCGATTCCGAGCCGGGTGGGCGCCCCCCAGAGGGCTGGGGTCATCAGTGTACTGTGGGCTTTGTCTCTTGGGAGGAGCTGGGGGTCTACGTTAGGCGTGTGCTCATCTAGAGCTTCAAAAAGTCCAACCACCCAACATTCAGCTGGAAAGGGATGTCTAGTATATTTCTGAGGTTTATCTAACATCACACCCCCCAAATGCCAGAGATTGACGGCATTCTCCTCTTGTTATTGGCAACAGCCTGAAGGAAGGGCCTGCTATTACCCTAGAAATCAGTCACTGAAGATACCGTGGACCCCAGTTTTTCTCTGAGACCCATGAGTCACCCACCGGGAGTCAGAATCTCTCTCTGCCTGGTGCCCGGGGCTCTTTGTTTTCAGTGTGGGAAGAGCGACACCTTGTGGTGTTGGCGCTCATGAACCGAAACCAAGCCCACTGCCGGTGAGTAGGCTCCAACGCGCTCACTGCGGCCACTGGGCAGAGCAGCGTGGCCCCTGTGGGCCTCTAAGGCCGCCAGTCTGCCCAAGGTCAGATAGCCTCATCTTCCTCCCAAGACGCAGCTGGTAGGTTTGAACTGCTGACCTTGCGGTGAGCAGCCCGGCTCACAGCCCTCTGAGCCACCCGGGCTCCTGTTTGAGAAAAGAGGCTTTTAGAAGAAACCATGATGTGTCTGAATGATGGACTGCCACCGGGCCTGCCACGTGGCGCAGGGCTGTGTTTACCCCTGACAGCTGTGGCCCATGGCATCACGGAGAGCTTAGTCTCCTCCTTTGAGAAGACGGTGGGCGAGTTCCATGTTTGGAAGGAGCCCTGGTGCCATGTTGGCTACACATTTGGTGCTCAGCACAAGGTAGGCAGTTCAAAACCACCAGCATCGTAAGAATCACAGTGCCAGAAACCCACAGGGGCAGTTCTGCCACGTGTCCAGTGGGGTCGCTGTGAGTCTGCATGGACTCAGTGGCAGTGAGTGTGTTTGTGTTGGGCTTTTGAGGAAGGATAGGTGCCAAGTGCAGACGGGATGATGCTACTGTGGCCTCTGTTGTCTCCCCCACTTCTTGTGTGGACACGTGATTGTTGAGGAACTGCCTGTGTGGGGCTGATGAAAACCTGGTCCCTCTGACCCTGCCTGACCTTCTCCACGTGAGGAACCCTGGCGAGAGGGGAGGTCTGCCTCCAGCTGCCCCTTGGGAGAAAGGTGAGGTGTCGTCACCTGTTCCTGCCAGGCCGGCCAGTGCTGGGCCGTGACACAGGGAAGCTGGGAGCAGAGCCGAGTCACTGGCATGGCCTTGGCTTTGCTGGTATTTTGCTTTACAAGCACAGTCTCTCGCTCGTAGAATGGTCTCCTGGAGAGCTCCCGCAAACAGCCACGTTTCTAAACCCAGTGCTCCTTGTCCGGGTCAGTGGACTAGCAGCAGCCTGCGGGCAGTGCTGCCCTGCTGCCCATGCCCCTTCACAGCCCTGGCCCGGCACTCAGCTTTCGTTTCAGAACAAGAGACGAGCCAGGAAGTGCCGGCACTGAGTGATGGCTCGGCTTCAACGTCACTCTTTTCTCTTTCTCTCACTTTACTTTGGGGCCTTTCTTACTTATTTGTTTTTTGTTTATTTAAAGGTCCTGTTTATGTGCCCCCTCCCTCGGAAGGGTCCATTTCAAAAAGGTCCAGCCGTAAACATGTGAACTTTTGTGGTCTTTGCAGATACAGTTAAAAAACTCCAGGACCAAAAACATGACATGGAGAGAGAGATCAAGACGCTCCACAGGAGACTGCGGGTAGGGGACCCCGTGCCCGACCCCGTCCTAGGGTCCCCACAGGAGACTACAGGCAGGGGATCCCTGTGCCCGACCCTCAGCCCGAGGGTCCCCACAGGAGATTACAGGCAGGGGACTCCTGTGCCCGACCCTCAGCCCGAGGGTCCCCACAGGAGATTACAGGCAGGGGACTCCTGTGCCCGACCCTCAGCCCAAGGGTCCCCACAGGTAGGGGACCCCTGTGCCTGACCCTGAGCCTGAGGGTCCCCATGGGAAACTGTCCATAGGGACCCCCTATGCCTGACCCCCAGCCTGAGGGTCCTCAAGGCAGACTGTCAGTGGGTTAGAGGTAGGCCCAGGCATGGTGGGAGGTGCGTGTACATGAGCCATGTGTATCAACTCTGGACTAGAACACGCAGTCTTGTCCTTCTGTGGCTGCCCCACCTCCCCGTGTGGGGAGCCCCTGTGGTACCGCAGGTCAGGCCCTGGGCTGCTAGCCACAGGGCAGTGGTTCCAGCTCACCAGCAGCTCCCTGGGAGAGCGGTGAGGCCGTCTGCTCCGCACCAGGGGCTCCGGGGACAGCTCGCCCCTGTCTTGGGTCGCTATGGTGTATTGTCTTCATTTAAAGAAAAGACTTGGTGGCGCAGTGGTTAGGCCGAGCACCACAGAAGTCTGCAGGTGTCTGCTTCCATGAAGACCTCAGAGGCCCTAGGGGCCGGTCTGGTCTCCTGTAGGGCTCTCTGTGCATCAGAATCTCCTCCATGGCAGGGGGTTGGGTTTGGTTTATAACACTGTGGCTTAGACCTTGGGCCGCCAACAGCAACACCAGTGGTTTAAAACCACCAGCTGCTTGGAGGGAGAAAGGCGAGGCCGTCTGCTCTGTGAAGAAGGACAGTCTCAGACGTGCTAGGGGCAGGTCCGCTCTGAGCATGGGGTCACTGTGAGGCGGAGCTGTGGCCACGCGGTGGTGATGGGAGAAGCTTCTTCCCTGGTCTGGCTGCTCCCTCTGCTGGAGACCGGCGGAGCTGTGGGAGGTGCCTGGGACTGGGAGGGCCCAGCGGGCAGTGTGGCTTCTTAGGGGGGGAAGCCCCCTGCATCCTGCAGAAGTGGGAGGGCCAAGGCCACAGGCACCCACCTCGCCCGTGTCAGGACCTGGTGTCGGGTGATGCAGCTTGTCTGTGTTTCTGGCTTCCTCTTCCTCTTCCTCTGCTTTTGAGTTTTTTCCTGGTGGTTTTGAAGTCAGGCTGTTTACAGTTTTCCATTGTGACCCCCCCCAGCCGGCAGCACACGCGTGCCCCTGGAGGAAGACTGGCTTTGAACTCGCGGGGGAGGGGCAGGTGGCTTGGCATCATTGTCGGGACGTTCACGGGGCACTTAGCGCCCTCGGTTTGGGCCACCGGCCAAGCTCAGTGGTGGCCAGTCAGATCTGACTCACAGTGAACTCCCCCC